AGGAGGTTATTGCTCGGTTAGTTTATGTGCGCGTGTGTTTGTTTTGGCTTCCCTCAAAAGACTTTTTTTTTTTTCTTCTTAGCTTAATTTTAAGATTCCAAAACTCACAGCATGTCATAATTAAACATCTCCTAGGAAGTGCACAGTCTGATTAGCACATTAACTCAGGCATAAACCAACCGTGACCAGGCTGCCTCCGGGTCTGGGTCAGACCAGTCTGGGAAAGAACAGTCCTGATGAAAACTCCTACTAAGATACATTAACCTCAACATTATTTTATCTTCCATCAGTTAAGATCTTTTCTCTGTCAATTCTTATGCAGTTTTTTTAATTGTTAATTCTGGCCTGAGAACAATCAACTAACATCCTATAAATATAAATAAATATAGATAAAAAATGGATCCACTAGTTCTGAGAATGAAATAATTTTACCTTCATTCTCAAAGGTTCCCACCACCAAAAAGCTCAGATGATTAGGGCGAAGTCAGAGATATTTTTATGATTACACACCAACAGCTAGAGACCGTGACTTCTTATCCGATATCAACTGTTTTGGAAAGGGAGAGCAAGAGGACTACCCATATCCTGATGTCTTTTTATTGGGCAGGTTGGGGCCAGCTGCTTGCTGTAAAACAAAATGATAAGTGCAAGTGACCACGGAAGTAGAAACATCTTCCCCCACAGTCTACACTTACACCATCCAAAACGGTAGCCATTAACTGCACACAGCTATGGAGCATTTGAAATGTGCCTAGGCCCACCAAGAAACTCAATTTTTAGGTTTACTATTTTTTTTTAATTTAAACTTAAAGCTGATAGTCCTTTGTGTTATTAGAAAAATTTTAAATATGTTTGCAACAGCTTGGGTATGCGAATTCACTTTTTTATTTGTAAAAATTTTATGAAATCTAAACACAAGTATTTCTGATGAAAATCTGGTGACTGAATTATGATGTGCACAAGTATAAAATGCATACCATATATTTCAAAGAATAGGCAACAGGCTAGAATACATCATTGATATTTTTAAAATATTGGCTACATGTTGAATACTTCAATCCAATACTTTAGATAGACTATTTTAAATAAAATATATTATTACATTTAATGGCACTAGCATTTCACTTTTTTAATGTGCTACAAAAAAATTTGAATTGCATGACTCATATTACATTTCTGTTGGGCAGCACTGATGATGAGTAATAGTAACCAGTGGCCTAACTATCAGAGATGGGCCAGTGAAGTGTTTTGCTGAAAATCTGTGTAGCATGAGGAAAGGCAAAAAGGCCAGACAGAACTGCAATCACATCCTAGCTCTGATTCTGAACAAGTCATCAGCTTCCTCCGCCCACCTTTTCCCATGTATAAAATGGGAAGAATGGTTTCCTAGCTTAAACCAAATATTTGTAAAGTGTCTGGCATATGACAGGAATAAACAGTTGAACACATAGTCGGTTTTCAGTAGAAAACAGAGATTTCAAACTACTAAGAATTAACTGCTTGTCAATATCTATGCGTTCTTGTAAATGGACTATATTCTGTAGACCCTTCCTTCCCCTCATACTCCTGCAACTTTGTTACTACCTTACATTTAAAGATGAATAACATCAACCTTTATACTCCATGTTATTATCAAAATAATCAACAACTGGAGGGACTCCTTCCATTTGTGTTTTAAAGTGGTAGTAAATTCATTTCCAGGAATACCACCATGATTTTTATGAATCTAAAATTCACCTTCAAAAGAGACTTATGGGAACACCTGGGTGGCACAGTCAGTTAAGCATCCGACTCTTGATTTTGGCTCAGGTTGTGATCACAGGGTCATGAGATTGAGCCCTGCCTGGGGCTCTGGGCTGAACGCAGAGTCTGCTTGAAATTCTCTCTCCCTGTCCTACCCCTCCCTCTCGTGCTCTCTCTCTCCCTAAAATAAATAAATAAATCTTTAAAGAGAGAGAGAGAGAGACTTGTAATATCAGAATATTTATTATGTCCTTTTCAGGCTATCTAAAATTCATCACAGTGGGACCTTGTTCTCGTGAGTGTTCGGTAGGCTCTAAGATGCTCTATCTAAGGCATTAATAATAATGAAGTAGCAGTATTAAACATGTAAAAGATGGAGCCAGCAATATTTATTTTAAAATTAATTATATCCCCTTGTTATACTCTATTTTCTTTGCGACTTGAAAAATGCCTGCAAATTCTTACACTATGAGGTAATACCATAATCATCAAAAGATTAGGAATGATAAGCCTAGGACAAATAAAATTAAGTCCTCCTTCATAAAGCAAATAGTAAAACCACAGAGTTCTTGTTTCACTAAAAAGTAGAGTAAGACAGACTGAAAATATTCCAAAATTGTTTAGATAAATTAATGCCTAGAAAATCACCATATAGGTAACTACTGAAAAGTGAGAAGTTTGGAAGTCATCTTTCATTTTTCAGGAGGATGCCAAGGAGAAAAACCATTCCTCCCCACAGTGACTTTTTTCATACAGTGTTGACTTCTGACAGGATGGCCTAAGGGTCAACTCACTATGGTCTTTCTTAGGTTTCTATAAAAACTAATTTACAATGACCTCTCTCTTCTTCTGTTTCTTGTACTTTTCACTCATAGTTTTCCATTTAGCCCTTTTGTCATTTTTTTCCTTCATTCATCTGATGAGTATTTATTGAGCCCTTACTATGTGCCAGCTGGTCTGCCGGCCTCACCATTGAACCTCACTAGCCTGTCATATTATTCAAACAACAGCACTAGAGTGAGATGGCGAGAGGCAAAACATACTTAATTTGTTTTAATTAGTTGGGTAATACGTGTGTGTATGCATATACTCTTCATCATCTCTGACTTGTCACCAAAATAAATTTGAAGTTGTCACACAGCATCCAAGCTCATAAAAATTAACTTGCTGGTTTCCAACATAATTAATTTTTAAGTAAGTTATTATTTTAGCTTATACTATACCATAGAGCTGAAATCCAAAGTTCATTTGTGGCTTCAAGTTACCTATTCTTAGATTGTATATTAATACAAATATCTCTTTACCAAAATTTGCCATTTTTGATGGCAAAACTTGCCATCATAACTCTTTTGAATTTTCTCCAAGTTATTCATATAGTTATATAATAGGTCAGATATCTCCTACTGAAAAATCTTGTGTTCACTAATTCACAACTAAGGGGGACTTTCTAGGGGAAAAAATTAAAAAGACAGGTCAGAGATCTTCATACATTTATTAGAGAAAATTTTTCTTAACTTGTTTATTCAATTATAAGTATATACTTGTTCAATTTTCCATTAGATTGTAAGAAACTTGAGGGCAGGGGCAAGGGCTCACTTTCTATGTGTCCATTTGAAAAGCATGGGTTTCAAGACAGTTTGATAGTCAAATGGAAAGTTGGTTAGATGAAAAAGAGAAAGAAATGTTCAGATTTAAGAGTTACCAATAAAATGAGGAGCACTTGGGTGGCTCAGTCAGTTGAGCACCAACTCTTGATTTTGGCTCAGGTCATGATCTCAGCATTTGTGGGATCGAGCTGGACATCAGGCTTGCGCTCAGTGCAGAGTCTGCTTGAGATTCTCTCCCTCCCACTCTGCCTCTGTCCCTCCCCAGTGTTCTCTCTCTCTCTCTAAAATAATAAATAAATATTTTTTTTAAAGTTAGCAATAAAATGAGTTTCATCTTTGAGACTATTTTTCTTAACCCATTAGTTAAAAATACAGGTGTTGGGTGATGATGATGTGTCGATGTAGGTTCATCAATCATAACTTATGTATCATACTGGTAGGGGATGCTGATAATGGGGGAGACTATGCATGTGTGGGGGTAGGGAAGCATATGGGAAATCTCTGCACCTTCCTCTCAATTTTACTGTGAAGCTTAAAAAGCTCTAAAAAAATAAGTTCTTTAAAAAATAGGTGTTAAACTTTAAAAATATCAATTGTGTGACCAATAGATAATGAAAAATAGTACTTTATTGTATAAAATAAAACATCAGTTAATTAATTCAATCTCAATTTATTGCAGTCTTAGCATGTGCCAAGCACTACTTTCCTCAGACCTGAGGTTTAAAGATAAATAAGATCTGTAAACGTAAAGTACGAAATGGAAAGTTGGTTCCACAAAATTCATGTGAACTAATCACAATTTTAAATAATCATTAAACCATGGAAAAGAAAACAATGCGTCTCCTACTTAGAATGTGTTCACTTCCCCAATGAAAAGGAATGACAAAATCTTTTTCATATGCCCTAAAATTTTTCAATACACTTTATACTTTTTGCTGGTTGCTCAGAAAACGCTACCTCCTAATACAAAGTAAGATGTCTTCAGTGCCTCTGTCTTTTTTAAGGAGTCAAGTAGGAAGGGAATGGAAAGAATGAAATCAGAAATGTCATGGAATAGAGAAAAGGAAAAATATCAACATGATAAATCGGAGCAAAGTTCTGCACAATATCATTCTCGTATTAGGCCAGAACACTGGACCCATAATCAACCTAGGGTAAGAAGCTAAGAAATGCCTAGAAATGAATAACCGCCTTAGACACATACTTTGTGAGAACTGGCAGTAAAAGGAAACAGTGCAGAAATCTTCTGGATAAGCTTAGGGGCAAGGCTGAAGTCTTGATTAGTGAAAACTAAAAGCCTGTCATTGGTTAGTCCTGCTGGTGAAGCAGAGCCTTCAAGGCACTTGGCAGCCTACAAGAGGTAGCAACTTCACTCAGGCACTACTAGCCTGGTCTGGCAGCTTCATTCCTTTCACTTCACTGTACATAGTATCTTTGGTTCTTAAAAGAGTCAGTCATTTTAACCTACATGAGTGTAAATGATACATCAAGGAAACCTGACCACTTTAGAGAATGACAAACCTTTCTGAAGTGAACACCCAGGGACTTTAATAAATGGGTTTCTTTAATAAATGGAAGAACTGACCAAGCCTGGTAGCAATGCCTGCCTACCTTAAACCCATTCTACCAGGTTACCCAAGTCCCACTTACCCCTAACATCTGGTGGAGGTAGTGATACTCTGGCCCTTGGTTATACAGCAGGAAGGCTTTCCAGAAAAGCAAAACATTCAGGGAGAGCCAGATAAACTAAATCATACAGAGAGAGAAAACAAAAATTAAAAATAAACATTACCTGATGAATGGAAACCTCAAGTACATTCATTGGACACAATACTTTCTGTGGAAGCTGGGTTAGTAATTGCAGAAAGCATTTTCAATTAACCATCAAGCTGAAAACCACTCAGAGCAAAACAAATCTGCCCTCACTCAGTCCCTGCACCTGAAATTAAGCATTTGGGTTGCAAAGACGTCTCCTAAATGATCGGCAGACATCCCCTGCAGTACAAAATGAGCCTAAGAAATTAGTGACATCACCACGTCCCGAGCATTGCATGTTGTTAAAATGCAACACCAAACAAAAGCAATCTGGGAAAAGAGCAAAGGGGGGAAGATGTTTAAAGGGTTAAGAAAAAGATGTGTTCACTACAAGTGATCTCTTCTCCCCCCCTCCACATCCGCTCTCCCATCAGTGTGCAGCAAAGTTCCCATGCATTTGGAGCGGGGGTGGGATGGGGGGGGGTCGTTATTGTCTCCAGGCATGAACAGCGGAAAGTTTTGTTAGTTGAGAATATTTGAATTAGAGGCAAAACGTCTCCAGCTCCCCACCCGCGCACGCTCAGAGAATGAATCAAAGTCGCTGCACGAGAGACAAAACGCAGGGAGAGCCTTGCCCGCCATCCTACCAGGCAGAGGTGTTTAACCCCTTCGTTGGCCAGCCAGTTCCTCCAGGACACAGCCATGCCGCCGGCCCCGCCGCGCTGCGCTCTCCGCCGGCCGGCCTGAGAAGGAGCGGCGGCGGCCGGGGCAGCGGTTACAGTCGTGCGGCCTGCGAGGGGGAGGGGGGGTACGGAGGGTCAAAGACTGAGTGGAAGCCCGGGCGCCGGCGCCGAGCCAGCCCGGGCGGGGTCTGCGTCCCCGAGCCGGGTCTTCCGGGCGCCGCGGCGGCAGCCCGCGCGGGGTCTGTGCTGCGCCCTCGGCCGCCCCGGGCCGGCGCTCGGAGCGCGCGCTCCTCGGCCCCGCCGCGCCCGCCCCTTGGTCTGCGGGCGAGCCTGTTGCTGCGGCTGCCGCCGTTCAGGGTGTCCCGGCTGGGAACCGGGGGCGTCCCCCGCAGCCTCAGCCCGGCCGGCGCGGCTCGCAGAGACCGAAAAAGATGTGGATGCCCTACCGGGGAACCCCGCCGCACCCCCGTACACTCGCACACACCTAGGTCTTTGGCACGGGTCGTTTCCCCCGCAAAAAGTTCAACTCGAAGAGCCTCCGTAAAGAAATTTGAGCCGGAAATAGCCTTTTGTGTACGAGCGTCCGCCTTCTCCCGCCCATCCTCAGCAACTCATCCCACCCCAACAAGCGCCTCCTCGCAACCCCTTACCTAAAGCTTTCCTCTACCTCCCTCTTCTCAGTCCCTCACCCCTACGCCAACCCACATTCATGCAAAGCTTTGAAGAAAATTCTGAATAAAAAGAGGCCAGCGGTATAATGGTTAAAGCTGATGTAATTCTCAGGGGGCTTTAGGGAAGCTCAGATTCCCTGTTCGGAAAAGTGCGTTTTATTACCTAGTATCAAAATCTGTTTAGTAATAGGAATCCCCTCAAACTTGTACCAGAGGCCTGGCGAAGGGTGAGAAGAGTATGGGATTGACACAGGCTACCTATCCTACACCGCAAATTATCAGTATTAGGAAAGAGGGGGGAAAATCATTCATATAGAAGAATGTCTGATGCAAAGTAAGTGTTCAACAAAAGTTTATGAAATCAGGAATTTTCCAAACTTTAACAAGTGGCAGAAAAGGTAAACCACTAGTAGCCTAATCTCATGGCTTTCAAGCTTTTTTTGTTCTTAACAAAGTCCACTTTACAACACATGCCATAATATGTAATTAAAACTAAAATATCATAAAATCTTCTCTTACTACAGCAATTAATTTTATGGACTGATTAATGACAGCAACCCTCCTTTCGAAACTTGAATTAATCCATATCAAGTGTGGGTTTCATTTCATGCAGTTCACTTTCTAGTAGTCTGTCATTTCTCTGTGATAAAGGACTTTCCTGTTTCATGCATGATCAAATCCTGAAAACTGCTTTAAATCTTTCTGGGGTTAGGAAGCATATTATTTATAAATAGCACTCTGTTCTTTGTAATTCCCATGTGATACCTAGAGGAGCCAAAAAAAGACCACACAGGGAACACAAGAAGAGTCACCACTGAGGAAGATCAAATTCTGGGACACCCTGGTACTCCTCACATTACACCTCTAAGTAACTGTCTGAGAGCCCTAAGTTCAGTAGATGGTAGGTAAAAAGGGTCCAGCAAAATGGTTTGGTTCTAGCCAAAATTTGAGAGGAATGAAGCAATGGAAAAATAGTAAAACAAAAGACATTTTTTCTTGACTTAATTGATCTAGTTCTTTTTTTCTCCAGTTTTATTAGGAAATTATTGGCACACATCACAGTATAAGTTTAAGGCATACAATATGATGGTTTGGTTTATATGTATTGTGAAATGATTACCACAATAGGATTGGCTAACATCCATCTTCCCATATAGATATAATAAAAAGGAAAAAAAAATTCTTGGGATGAGAACTCTTAGGATTTACTCTTTTAACTCCTGCATATCATACAGCAGTGTTAGCTATGGTCATCATGTTGTACTATACCTCTAGTATTTATCTTATCACTGGAAGTTTGTACCTTTCACCATCTTCCTTCAATACCCCCTCCTCCCATCCTCTATCTCTGGTAACCACAAGTCTGAGCTCTTTTTCTATGAGTTGTGGTTTTTTTTGGTTTTTGGTTTTTTTTTTTTTTTTGGTTTTTGTTTTTGTGGGAGTTTTGTATTCCACTGATAAGTGAGATCATACACTATTTGTCTTTCTCTGTCTGACTTATTTCATGTAGCATAATGACCTCAAGTTCCATCCACATTGTCACAAATGGTAGTATTTCTTTGTTTCTTTATGGCTGAATAATATTCCATCAGCGCACACGTAGGTTCTTTCCATGTCTTGGCTAGTGTAAATAATGTTGCTATAAACATGGGGGTGCAGATATTGTTTCCAGTTAGTGTTTTCATTTTCTTTGGATATATTTCCAAAAATGGAATTGCTGGATCATATAGTAGTCCTAGCTTTAATTTTTTTGAGGATCCTCTATACTTTTTCCATAATTGCTACACCAATTTACAATCCCACCAACAGTGCACAAAGATTCCTTTTTCTTCATAACCATGCCTTGTCTTGTCTTTTGTTGATGGCCATTCTAATAGGTATGGGATGATATTTCATTGTGATTTTAATTTGCATTTCCCTAATGACGAGTGATGTTGAGCATCTTTTCATATACATGTCGGTCTTTCATGGATCTTCTTTGGAGAAAGATCTGTTCAGGCCCTTTGCCCACTTTTTAATTGCTTGGGTTTTTTGTTTGTTTTGGTTTGGTTTTTAGTTTTTGCTATTGAGTTGTATGAGTTCTTTTTATTTTTTGCTATTGAGTTGTATGAATTCTTTATATATTTTTCAGATGGATGGTTTGCAAATATTTTTCCTATTCCATAGGTTGTCTTTTCACCTTATTGATGGTCAAAGACAATTTTTTTTTTAAAGTTCAGCTACTTCTAGGGAAAAAAAAGACAAAAATAATGGATCTAGCTCTTACCATGTACCTACTACTTGTCAGTCACTGTCCTTGGTACTTCATACTTAAAATCTCACTTAATTCACTTCATAGCTCTCCTAGTGGAAGTCAGTGCCCCTACTTTAGAGATAAAGAAACTGAAACTGAAAGAGATTAAACTCACCTGAGAAGGTGGGGGAAATGGGCAGATGTTGGTTAAAGGGTACAAACTTCCACTTATATGATGAGTAAGCTCTGGAGATGAAATATACAGCACAATGATTATAAATAACAATATTGTAATATATACTATTTGTAAGTGTTTAGGAGAGTAGATCTTAAATGTTCTCACCACAGAAAAGAAAGGATAATTATATGAGGTGATGGAGGTGTTAGCTAAGCTACAATGGTAATCATATCACAATAGATAAGTATCAAATCAACATATTCAACAGCAAATCAACATAACCAACACTTTAAGCTTACACAGTGTTATATGTCAATTAGATCTCAATAAAGCTGGAAAATGTTAACATTACAATAAAGACTAAAAAAATCAAAAAAGAAGAGAAACTTGCTTGGGATGGCAAAACAGGATTTGCTTTCATTTCTAACAGCCCATAATCAGATACTTTTGTGTTCTGTAGAATGATAGAATGCTATGCACATGTTGATTATTACATTGATCCCTATTATCTTGTAGGAGTTCTGTAGAAGGGGCCCAGGATCTGACTGTGTATTTTGCCTTACAAGGAAACAATCCTGCAAGCTATCCTCAGGGGACAGAGCTATTGCCCTGTTATGCAGGAACTCTCATTAATGAGGTTCTTTTCAATATTTTCTCTAGGCCAGATGGGTTAGTGCAAGGAGTTACTGTCTTTACCAAGATAGGAAAGCCTGCCCTTGAAAGAAATGAGGAGAGAGTTCTGTGGTTGTATCAGCATTCCAAAAATCATAATGAAAGAAACAAATTGCATTCTTGCCAGGAAAAGACTTCACAGGAAAAAAAAATCAATGACAACAAATACCTTTGCTGTTGGCTTAAATAATAGGAAAATAGAAGTGACCACCCTATGCTGATTATAACCTGTTTGGCAATTAGAGATGTTTTTGATCTGTTATTTGTTACTTAATAAACACTGTCTAAGGTAGATAGTTTCCTTCAGAGTATGAAATCCATGGGGAAAAAAATGATCAAAGTTTACCCCTTTGGCCTGCTTTATTACTCCCTCCTTTATGTGTCAGTTCAGAGGCATGCTTTGCCAGGAAACTTTTTCTAGCTCCCTTCTCCTGCGTGCTCATGCAGATGCATCCTGTAGTCTGTGCACTTTTCAGTGTGTTCCTAATATTCCGTGCACATGATCGTTACTGCATTTTCCACAGATTTTTAATTTCATTGTATGTGTGTATGTCTAATTCCCCCCATCAACCTCCTCAAGGACAAGGATCCTGTCTTATACAGTTTTTATTCCAGGACTAAGGACAAAGATGAAAACATACCAAGAATGAGACCCCTGGGTGGCTCAGTCAGTTAAGCATCTACCTTCAACTCAGGTCATGATTCCAGGGTCCTGGGTTGGAGCCGGTGTTGGGCTCCCTGCTCAACAGGGAGCCTGCTTCTCCCTCTCCCTGCTCCTGCTCTCTCTCACCATCTCTCTCAAATAAATAAATAAAATCTTAAA